ACTCTGCTGCACTCTACCGAGGGCGAAAAAGTGAGACTCTGTCTCTACAAAAAAAAAAAAAAAAAAAGAGAGTTGTGCGGCATCATAGCTCACAGCACCTGGCTCAGGCTGGTCTCTAATCTGTGAGCTTTGGCAATTCACTTGTCTCAGCTTCCCATATGCTAGGAATACAGGTGTGAGCCACTGCACCTGGCCTCCAGTTATGCTTTTCTATAGAAATAACAGTTCACCAGCAAAAAAATATAATACTTTCCAATTGCAAATCTTCAAGGGACTAATTTTCTATCTTTACCCTAAGTAACCGTGATCTTTTGGTTAATTATCTACCACTTGTGATTAAGAAGAATTTTATCAAAATTTGTAGAGTATAATCACTAATTACCAAATGGAGTTAATTTGTAAGTATAGTCTAACATTTTTCTATATAAATCCACGGCAGAGCTAACCTCATGAATATTTATAAAGAAAAATATTAGGATATTGTAATTTTCAAAAAAAGAAATAGTAAGAGTTTTAAAATTTAGTGCTATGGCTCAGCACCCATAGCACAGTGGTTACGGGCACCAGCCACATACACTGAGGCCAGTGGGTTCGAACCCAGCCCAGGCCAGCTAAATAACAATGACAAATGCAACAAAAAATAGCTGGGTGTGTGCTGGGCACCTGTAGTCCCAGCTACTTGGGAAGCTGAGGCAAGAGAATTGCTTAAGCCCAAGAGTTTGAGGTTGCTGTGAGCTGTGACACCACTGCACTCTACCGAGGGCGACATAGTGAAACTCTGTCTCAAAAAAAAAAAAATTAATGCTAATTCTTGAGAAGGTGAATTGATTCTATTAGGCTGATGATGGTTTACTTTAGCTAAAATACATTAATAATCTACATGAGGGTGTTATCAGGGACCAAGGAATGGTTAAATTCAATATTAACATACTGAACAGAAGAATGACTGGGTTCTATAAAAAATCTTGATCACTACCTGAGGTTTAGTGATCTAATTACAGATAAGATAAAGAGGCAAGGAGAAGAATCTGGTATTTTTCCCCAACAAAAAACTGTCCATAAATCTTTCTATCTGCATTTTAGGCTATTCTCAGGTTCCTAGGTATCTAATGTCTACCACAGTGACCCAAAGTAATATACATTTTTAAAAAGCTATTGCTATTTGTGAGGTAATATATTTTTATAGTAACTCAAGGCTGCAAATCAATTACAAATTTCAATAATTATTTGAAAAATATCTAGGCACTTCCTCATTTTAGAAAAAAAGATACAACTGGCTGATTTTTAAAGGAATAATTCTAACCACAATTAGAAGGTTTCATCAAATATTTTTAACCAAAAGTAATTAAAAGTATTAAAAGCACTGTTACCTACCACTTGTAGTAAGGATTACAGGTCGTTTAGTCGTTGCCATGAACGTTTTGATTGCATTCAAAAACCCAGCATCTTCATCAAAAATTACATCAACCTACAAACCGTTTAATAGAATATTAATGTAACAAGTAACAATACACTGATATCTACTATTTATACTACGTCCATTAGAGACAACATCTGCGAATTCACGAAGTGTGAATTCAGTCCACTGAAAACTTACAATGTTTTACACCATAAATAAATTTTAAAATAATTAAATGTCAAACATGAAAAGTAAATATATGTAGACACCGGTAGTTGGATAAGTTTGAATCAGAATAATGTCCGTAATCACTAAACAATAATCAGTAACCATGAATTGCACTAATTATCTTCCTCAAAAATTCTAGAGTTGATGGTTTCATTTGCTTTGATTTCAAATAGATGAACTCATTATTATTTTTAGTTATTTTATACCTTTTAATAACAAAACATACAGTAATCTTTAAAAAAGATTTGATCATGAAATATCATAAATGTATACTTCTATAACCCTACCTCCTCAAAAAGAATGAGAGATGTTGCATTTTTCCTGCCAGGTTCCTCGGCTCCAAATTCTTTGACATTTGACTTAGTTGCATTTGTAGATTTAGTCTTAGCAATTTGTTTTTGTTCAAAAGAATTTTTGATTCCTGCATACATAAAATATTAGTATTTTAGTTAAAATCAATATTTTTGTTTTGTTTTGTTCTCTTCTTTTGAGACGATGTCTCACTCTGTTGCCCAGGCTCGAAGTGCTATGGCATCAGCCTAGCTCACAGCAACCTCCAAATTTTGGGATCAAGAGATCCGCTTGCCTTAGTCTACTCATTACAGGTAACCACTACAACTTGTAGATACTTTTTTAAAATTTTTAGTAATGACAAGGTCTCACTCTTGCTCAGGTTGGTCTTGAACTCCTGAGCTCAAGCAATCGAACTGCCTTGGCCTCCCAGAGTTCAAGGATTCTAGGCATGAGCTACTATGCCCAGCCTGGCAAAATAAACTTTTAATAGGACATTGGCTATTTCCACAGAATAAACTCAAATTTAAATCCATTATCAAAACTGAAAGAAACTATTAAAACTTCTATATGTAGAAGTTCAGTGTAGCTGCAGTTTAATAAAAAGCATTTAGAACTTATAAAATACATTCATTCACATTTTTATGTGTCAGGGTCATTAATATTTAAATACGTAAAATTAATTTTGTGAACATAATATCTTACCTTTATTATTTGCTAGAAGTGCTGCTGTTTCTTCATTATTTTTTGGTTTGGAAGATACTGTAAAATAATTTGCCAATGTTTTAGGGGGAAGTGCACGCTTTGGTCCAGTACTTCTTGGTGATGGTGGATGTAGTTTTCTTGGTGATGTAACAACTTTCTTAGGGGAGTTTAATTTTTCTGCCAAAACAAATTGCATTTAAAAATAAATATTCTAAAAATAATACACGTGGCAAGATATTCACATTCTGTATTTCTACTCTTTATCAGTTAAAGATCAAAGACACAAATATTCTTTCATTTAAATATTCTGTACATTCAAATATTACTGCGTTGTATTTATCCTATCAGTCATTTGGGTCATTTGGAAAAGACATTCTTTTCCATAGAAATATGCATCCTTTTTTTCTTTCTTTCTTTCTTTTTTTTTGGTGAGATAGAGTCTCACTCTGTTGCCCTGAGTAGAGTGCAGCTACGTCATCATAACTCACAGCAACCTTAAACTCCTGGGCTTAAGAGGTCCTCTTGCTTCAGCTACCCAACTACCTGGGACTACAGGAGTACATGCCACCATATCAGGCTAATTTTTCTATTCTTAGTAGACAGGATCTCGCTCTTGTTCAAGCTGGCTTGAACTCCTGAACTCAATCCTCCCACCTCGGTCTCCCAGAGTGCGAGGATTACATGTGTGAGCCCCCATGTCCAGCCGAAATACACATTCTCAAAGCAAATAATGTTGGGCTGGTCACAAATTTCTGGCCTCAATCAATCCTCCTACCTTCCTAAAACTGTTGGGATAACAGGTATGAGTGAGCACACCTAGCCAAAATAGCAAACGTATTCCAAATGTAAAACCTAGAAGAAAGACTGAGCACACGATAAGTAGACACACAGAAGATATAAAAATGACTCAGATCAAACTTCTAAAAAATAACTACACTGAACGGCAGTGACAGCATACCAGATATTGCAGAAATATGTGCACTTGAATAAATAGTAATAACAAATATCCAAACTGAAACACAAAGAGGAAAAAGACAAAAAAACTGAATAAACCAATAGTGAACTGTGAGACAGCTTCAAGTAGTCTAAAATACCTATAACTGGAGCTGACCAAGGAGGTAACAAGGACAGGAAAAAACCATAATAAATAATAGTTGAAATTTCCCCAAAATTGATGAACACTATAAACCCTCATATCTAAGAAGCTTAACAAATCCCAATCACTGCCTCGGTGCCTGTGGCTCAAGTGGCTAATGCGCCAGCCACATACACCTAAGGTGGCGGGTTCGAATCCAGCCCGGGCCCACCAAACAACAATGACAGCTGCAACCAAAAAATAGCCGGGCGTTGTGGTGGGCGCCTGTGGTCTCAGCTACTTGGGAGGCGGAGGCAGGAGACTTGCTTGAGCCCAGGAGTTGGAGGTTGCTGTGAGCTGTGATGCCATAGCACTCTACTCAGGGGGACAGCTTGAGGCTCTGTCTCAAAAAAAAAAGAACAAATCCCAATCACAAAAAACATGATGAAAACTACACCAAGGCACGTCATAATTAAATTTCATAAAATCAGCAATGAAGGCCAGGCATAGCGGCTCATGCCTGTAATGCTAGCACTCTGGGAGGCTGAGGGACCAGGATCTCGGGAGTTCGAGACCAGCATGAGCAAGAGCGAGATTCTGTCTCTCCTAAACCTAGAAAAATTAGCCAGGCATTGTGATGGGTAACAGTTGTCCCAACTACTTGGGAGGCTGAAGCAGGAAGACTGCTTTAGCCCAGGAGTTTGAGGTTGCTGTGAGCAAGGCTGACGCTATAGTACTCTAGCCCTGGTGACTAAGACTCTGTAAAAAAAAGTAATGAAGAGAAAATCTTAAAATCAGCAAAGAATAATACACAAAGGATTGAAACACTTTAAATATATACAAATCCATGACTTCACAAAAATACTAAAAGAGAAAAACTCCCTGGTCAACTTTCATGGTGACTAGGATAGCATTATTCTAAAATCCAATAAATAAAACAAAGAATGACACATTTCTTGTGCCTAAAAATTATATTACAAAGTATCCAAATAGTTGATGAGGGATAGTGCTTCCTCTTAGAATTCTGATAAATGCATAAAGGCTGAATTATAAAATCATTTTTAGGCTGGGCGTGGTGGCTCATGCCTATAATCCTAGCACTCTGGGAGGCTGAGGCAGGTGGATTGCTTGAGTTCAAAAGTTCAAGACCAGCCTGAACAAGAGTGAGACCCCCATCTCTACAAGTAGCTGGGCGTTATGGCAGGTGCCTGCAGTCCCAGCTACTTGGGAGGCTGAGGCAAGAGGATCTCTTGAGCCTAAGAGTTTGAGGTTGCTGTAAGCTATGATGCCACAGCACTCAACTAAGGGTGACAAAGTGAAACTTTGTCTCAAAAAAAAAAATCATTTTTTAATCTAATAAATGAGTCTACTAATGAGATTACTAATGGTTGCTAATTACCATTAAATTAGGGAGTGATGGTGAACTTTGTATTGTAATACACTCTGGGAGGCTGAGGCAGATGGATTGCTTGAGCTCGTGAGTTACAGACCAGCCTGAGCAAGAACAAGACCCCGTCTCTAGAAATAGCGGGGTGTGCGGCGGCACCTGTGGCTCAGTGAGTAAGGCGCCAGTCCCATACACCAAGGGTGGTGGGTTCAAACCCGGCCCCGGCCAAACTGCAACAACAAAAAATAGCCAGGCGTTGTGGTGGGCGCCTGTAGTCCCAGCTACTCGGGAGGCTGAGGCAAGAGAATTGCCTGAGCCCAGGAGGTTGCTGTGAGCTCTGTGATGCCATGGCACTCTACCAAGAACGATAAAGTGAGACTCTGTCTCAAAAAAAAAAAAAGAAATAGCAGGGTGTGTGCCTGTAGTCTCAGCTACCTAGGAGGCTAAGGCAAGAAGATCACTTCAGTACAAAAGTCTGAGGTTTCTGGAACTATTACACCATGGCACTCTAATGAGGGCAACAAAGTGAGACTCTGTCTCAAAAAAAAACTCAACTTTACAATAAATGAGTCAGAATGAAAACACTTGAACTCACTGACAAACCTTAATATCGCTAAAAGTGGGCTTCATCTCCTGCTATGTCATAGAAAGTACACAACCTCGCTGGTCAAGGTGACTCATGCCTGTAATCCCAGTACTTTTGGGAGGCCAAGACAAGAGGATCACTTAAGGCTAGGAGTTTGAGATCAGCCTAGGCAATACGGTGAGACCCCTATCTCCACAAAATATTTTAAAAATTAAGCTTGGCGCCCTTAGCACAGTGGTTACAGCGCCAGCCACATACACTGAGGCTGGTGGGTTTAAACCTGGCCTGGGCCAGCTAAACAACAATGACAATTGCATAAAAGAAGAAAAATAAAAGGCATTGTGGCTGGTGCCTGTAGTCCAGCTACTCAGGAAGCTGATGCAAGAGAATCACCTAAGCCTAGAAGTTGGAGGTTGCTGTGAGCTGTTGCACCACAGACTAGAGCTGTGACTCTACCAACAGCAATAAAGTTAGACTGTATCTCTAAAAAAAAAAAAAAGGTATGATGGTGTTCAGATTTGTTTTAAAAACAGTGTGGGGGGGGAGCATGTGTATTTATTGAAGATAAAAAAACCAATGATAAAATGCTGATAATTAGGCTCAGCGCCATAGTTCAGTGGTTAGGGCACCAGCCACATGCACTGGGTCTAGTGGGTTCAATCCTGGCCTGGGACTGCTAAACAACAACAGCAACAACAATAAAATAGCCAGGCTTTGTGGTGGGCGCCTATAGTTCCAGCTACTTGGGAGGCGAAAGCTAGAGAATCATTTCTGAAGCTCAAGAATTTGAGGTTGCTGTGAGCTGTGACACTACAGCACTCACCGAGGGTGACATGGTAAGACTATGTCAAAAAAAAAAAATGCTGATAATTAAAATTATTTTCTTATATTGTATTTTCTTCAAAAGATTATGGCCTTGAGAAAATAATTTACTTACTTGGTGACTTGCCCATGTTGTAGCTATTAAAAAAACAGGGTTTTTGTGAGTTTACACCTTGCTTGTCTACTTGATGAGACTGAGTAGCTTCCTTCAGCTGAGACAGAATTTGTCTACCACTGCGCTGGGAAGAGGCATTCACTTCAAATATCTAAGGAAGAATAACAGGAGAAAAAGGAAGAATGGTTTATATTTTCTTTTAATTCAAGGATAATTAAGAATGAATTGTTACATTCTTTCTTCTACTGCAGCTACTACTCACCTTAAATCCCAGCTCCTGAGCACAAGCGTACACTGCAGCAGTCTTTCCCACTCCTGTTGGCCCCGTTATGAGAACAGTATTGCAAAGACGACTCTCTTCTTCATCATCTGACCCGCCTTTAAAGTCTATGCTAGCTGACAAATCTGAAAATCATTCAAATGCATATAAAATCATAATTGCTTAGTCAGAAATTCTATGTCGTGAAACCCAATGATTAAATATCACAAACTTCTTGCCAATAAATGCTGAAAAATAAATCTACAAAAAGTGGGAAATCAATTATAAGATACTAACTAAGAAATTTTTAAGCCAGGCATGGTGTCTCACACCTGTAATGCTAGCACTTTGGGAGGCTGAGGCGGGTGGATTGTTTGAGCTCAGGAGTTTGAGACCAGCCTGAGTAACAGCAAGACCCTGTCTCTACTAAAAACAGGAAAATTAGCCCAGCATTGTGGCAGGCACCTGTAGTCCCAGCTACTTGGGAGCCTGAGGCAAGAGGATCTCTAAGTCTAAGAGTTTGAGGTTGCTATGAGGCTACGAGCTCCGATGCCATGGCATTTAACCCAGGACAATAGAGTGAGACTGTCTCAAAAAAAACAAAAAACAAACAAACAAAAAAAACAAGAGTCTCGCTCTATCACCCAGGCTGGAGGCCAGTAGCACAATCATAGTTCACTGTAGCCTTGAATCCCTCAGCTCATATGACTGTCCCACTTTAGCCTACAAAGTCGCTGGGACTACAGGAGCACACCCTCATACCCAGAATAAATTTTTTTATTTTTTTGTAGAGATGGGCTGGTCTCAAACTCCTAGCTTCAAGTGATCTTCTTGGCTCAGCCTCCAGAATTGCTAAGATTACAGGCTACTGTGCCTGGTCCAATTAAGAAATTCCATTAAAATTTTTAGCTAATTTAACTCTAAATATGTTCAGTGAAAGGAAAAAAAAGTTACTCAAAATACCTTCCTGTTTTTCATCTCTTTTTCCCTTCAAATTTTGTCTTTCTTCTAATTCAGCTCTTCTTTTCCAGTCTTTTAACCAACTGCCATAGAAAATGTATGTTAATAAAAATGATTTATAGAACACAGGTACCTCTTAGACTTTATGTTAAAATGGTTGTTGGGGGAAAGTAATGGCATATTTACACAGATCATACACGCAAGAACATTCACTGCAGCACTGTTTATATTAGCCTCTGCAAAGGAAAACCTAAAAGTACACCATTTGGGGAAGAGACACTTTATGGTATACTCTAATAGAAATTAGTACGCAGCAATCAAAAAGAAGTGAGGTAGTCTGTATGATGGCATGAAAGGTGTCTAATACAAAAATGCCAAGTACAGGAGAAAGATTAAGTTCTAGTCTGGAGCTAGACTGCCTGACTTTAAATCCCACCTCCACCACTCTCTACCTATGTGACTTTGGACAAGTATCTCAGCCTCCTGAGGCCTGTTTCTTCACGAGATGAGGAAAACACTATTTATCTTACAGTAAATACTGCTAATCTAAGGATTAAATGAACTAAGAACAATGCAAGTACTCAGAATAGCACCACAGTTCCTTATAGGAAATCCTTTGGGCCAGGTAGTTTTAGAATCTGGAATTTTTCAGATAATAGAAAGGTAACTTTGTACACATGTACACCACCTGTTACATAATACCCCTGATGTGGCCTGGGGTGGTACATTTATAATCACTTAAAATTTCTATTAAGGGCGGCCCCTGTGGCTCAAAAGAGTAGGGCACTGGCCCCCTAAGCCAGAGGTGGCAGATTCAAACCCAGCCCCAGCCAAAAGAACTGCAAAAAAAAAAATAAATAAATAAAGACAAAATAAACTTTGTATAATTAAGTTAATAAACTAAGTTTTCAGAATTTTTTGGATATATGAACTGAATTAGTAGAATATCATAGAATAGAATCCCATAAGTTAGAAAGGACCAAACATGTATAAAATTTTTTCTAAAAGCTTTTACAAAAATTTTGAACGGTGGTTACATCTTGGAAGAAAAATGTGAGAAAAGATAAATACTTTTCCCTTGAAATTCTTCTTTTTTAAATAAGATTTTACCATGTAAAATATTACTTTATAATTTCTAAATTTTATTATAAACAAAATAAATAATAAAACTAAATTCATCAACTATTTCTCAATTCCTTTGCAAATTTTACCAACCTATGTAACTTTTTTATAGCTAACTCATTGCCTATGAGTTCACTGGCAGTCTGAGGTTGATATTTTTCTGTCCAGAGCATGTCTTCAGTTCCAGAATCTAAAGCAAAAATAAAATGTTAAGGTATTTGTTCCTTGACATAAGCATATAGGTACTGTTCGATATTTACATTATTGTTGCAATATAATAATAGGTATTTTAACACAATGACTGCCACAGTAGGAAAAAAAAATTGTTTTCCTTGCACCCACAGTAGGTCAAGAGACGTGTGAATTATATATGCTCCACAAGGCCCTGGGCTCAAAACTAGCTTGCGTTAAATACAAGTTACATGGCAGTTAATGTGTTAAAAAATATTTACATTTACAAAATACCAAAAGGATAACTTTAAAACTTAAAATTACATTTAAAATTCACTTTTTTAAAATTTCAGAATATGAGGTTACAAACGATTAGGTTATATTGTTTGCATTTGTTAGGTAAAGTCCCTGTTGTAGTTGTGCCCCTATTCCAGGAGGCGTGCTATGTACCCAGTAAGGGCACACCAATTCCCCCCACTCCCTTCCCCTCTTCACATTTAAAACTCTTCACACCAAACTCTTCTCCCTTAAAAATATGCCATAATCTTATGAGAAGTATAAAAGTGTACATTTAAATTTTTAATAACCACTCAAGAAACATGAACTATGAAAAATAATTTGTAGCATAAAAACCAATAAATATATAGAACAAAGCCAGCTTTATCTTAGTGGAGCCTCTTTCGTCCACTGGAAATAAACATTAAAACAGGGCGGCACCTATGGCTTATTGGGTAGGGTGATGGCCCCATATACTGAGGGTAGCGGGTTCAAACCCGGCCCTAGCCAAACTGCAACAAAAAAGTAGCCAGGTGTTGTGGCAGGCACCCATAGTCCCAGCTACTTGAGAAGCTAAGGCAAGAGAATTGCCTAAGCCCAGGAGTTGGAGGTTGCTGTGAGCTGTGATGCCCCTGCACTCTACTGAGGACGACCAAGTGGGACTCTGTCTCTAAAACAAACAAACAAACAAAAAAAAATTAAAACATTAAAAACCACTAAAATCAACCTGAGAAACAGAGAGAGAGAAAGAGAGAGAGATGCCACTTTTCTTTTTTTGTTTTTTTTGAGACAGAGTCTCACTATGTTGCCCTCCCTCGAGTGCCATGGCATCATAGCTCACAGCAACCTCCAACTCCTGGGCCTAAGCAATTCTCCTGTCCCAGCCTCCCATGTAGCTGGGAGGCACCTGCCACAATGCCTGGCTATTTTTTATTGCTGTTGTCACTGTTGTCTAGCAGGCCCAGGCTGGGACTGAACCTGCCGCTTTTGGTGCATGTGGCTGGCGTCCCACTCATGGAGCCGAGATGCCACACTCTTAACTAAGAAGACTGAATATTATAAAGATGCATTTCTCTCCAGATTAATCTATAAATTAAAGCAACATAAAAATCTCAATGGCATTTATAGAGGTAAGGTAACCTATGGTTCACTTACAGAAGTAAATGCATAAAAACACTTTAAACGACAGGAGACTTGCTATATCAAATATGTAGTAGTATACCTACTACAGGTTAGGCATCCCTTACCTAAAATGTTTGGGACCAGAAGTGCTTTGGATTTCAGATTTTTTTTTTTTTTTTGAGACAGAGTTTCACTATGTCGCCCTTGCTAGAGTGTCATGGCATCACAGTTCACAGCAACCTCAAACTCTTGTGCTTAAGTGATTCTCTTGCCTCAGCCTCCCAAGTAGATGGGACTATAGGCCCTGCCACAACACCCAGCTATTTTTTGTTGCGATTGTCATTGTTGTTTAGCTGGCCCAGGCTGGGTTCAAACACACCAGCCTGGATGTATATGGTGGCACCTTACCCACTGAGCTATGGGCCCTGCCTGGATTTCAGATTTTTTTTTTATTTTGGAATATTTGCATGTACATAATGATGTATCTTGGGGCTAGGACACAAGCCTAAACATGAAATTCATTTGCAGTTCATATATCCTTATACATATAGCCATAGGTAATTTTATACAATATTTTTAACAATTTTGTATGTGGAAGAAAATTGCATTTTGACTGCATCCTGTCGCATGAAGTGAAGTGTGGAATTTTCCACTTGTGCCATTATGTCAGTGCTCAAAAAGTTAGGCATTTTGGGTCATTCTGGGCTTTAGATTTCTGGATTAGGGATGCTCAACCTGTATAAAGCTATACAAATGGATGAATTAAATCCATTCACTGGAATACTTTGGAAAGGCTACATAAACTGGATAGGAACATGTCAGAGACATACGTAATACATAAAATAGTATATAGAGTATGACCCCAGACTTTTAAAAAAACCATATTTACAGAAGACACACAAAAAATATCAACGTGGTTATTTACCAGCCTCTAATCAGTGAGACTTCCATTTCTCTTACACACATGTTTTCTGAAAGTTGTGATAAGCGTATGTTAAAGGAGAGGGGCACCAGCCAGTGGTAGCACTGCGTAGTGGATAAGGCAGCCTGCATCAGGAGTGAATAAGGTAGCCGGCTATGATGCAGACAGTCTAGGTTCAAATCTAGGCAGGGAATTTAGCATTAGGAATAGGGCCAGGATTAGGGGCCAGGTTAGGCAGAGGTGGGGCAAAAAAGGATAAGACAAGGAAGGGAAAAAATATGAGCAGTTAAAAAAACAAGAGAAGGAGAAAATCTAATTTACCAGGAAAAGAAGATACTTCTGATGCAGTCTCTTTGTCATCATCTATTATCACAACATCAGAATCTTCCACCTCTGTTTCTACTTGACATGGACTCAAGGCAGTTTGTTTCTTCTGGGATGTTTTAGAAAATATACCTTTGGAAGCATCGATCTTGATTCCAGAAGAGCTATTTCTTTTGTCAAGTTCTTTTGGCTTCCCATTTATCTTTTCTGGATTTTCTGAATATTCATTTGGTTTCTTTCTTTTTGACTTACGATTTTCTATTTCTAGTCGTTTCCTTTTGGTTTCTTTTTGATTGACATCAGGCTCTAATTGTAGACTTTCTAGTAGGGGATTTAAAAATTGCATGTGCTTACTAATCAACAAGAAACAATTTTTAATACTTAATAATCTTTTATTACCTTCAAATATTCATTTTTTTTTTTTTTTTTTGCGACAGAGTTTCACTATGTCATTCTCAGTAGAGTGCCATAGCATCCCAGCTCACAGCGACCTCAAACTCTTGGGCTCAAGAGATTCTCTTGCCTCAGTCTCCCAAGTATCTGGGACCACAGGCGCCTGTCACAATGCCCAGCTAGTTTTTTTGGTGTTGCAGTTGTTATTACTGGTTAACTGGCCAGGGCCGGGTTTGAACCTGCCAACTTTAGTGTATGTGGCTGGTGCTATAACTACTGTGCTGCAGGCGCTGAGCTTCGATTGTTTTATTTAACAGATAAGGTCTTGCAGGGCTGTGGTGTGATCACAGCTCACTATAACCTCAAACTCCTAGACTCAGGCAATCCTTCCACCTCAGCCTCCCAAACAGCTGGGATTATTGAGGCACAAGGCCCAAACCAATAGTTTTATGACTTTATAGAGAAAAGGCAAAACATCAAATGTAACATACTAAAAACAAGCTAGAGATCTTAATATTTAGACTGCTTTGTTCAAGCTATATAAGTTCATAGTATCTCATCTAAGGTTTTCCTTAAATGAGTGATTAATATCATAACATAATTGAAATTATCTTGGGGTTGACATCTTTGGGATCTGAAAAGAACTAACACTGCACTGTACAAGATACTTTTAATTCAGTTAAATAATTTTCCCTGCCAATTGTGAACAATGTTTGGTCTGCAGTGATCATTTCCAAGAGTCAATGGCTAAGTCGTAGCACTTTCAAATTAGACATGTTAACATAAATAATAATAATTATCACTAACCTTGTCTTCCATGGCACTCAGAAAGTAGCTGGTGCTCACTCTGTTTTTTCAGAAGCAATGGAAAATACTTTTTTAAAGAAAATTCAGGATTTGAAAACTTAATTTCCTCCAGCAAAAGATTTCTTACTTCTTCAGAAAAATCCTTCCTTGTCCTCATAAACTGCAATAAAGAATAAAATGCACAATAACAGATCTATATCATCTACTTTTTTTTTTGCAGTTTTTGGCAAGGGCTGGGTTAGAACCCACCACCTCTGGCATATGGGGCTGGTGCCCTACTCCTTTGAGCCACAGGTGCTGCCCAATCATCTCCTCATGTTAACCATGAAATTACCAACCACTTCTTGTCCTTAATAGTTAGTATCAATATAGGATTAGCTTTAATCACCAAACACAAAGCTGCATGTGCATAGCTTTTTTTTTGAGACAGAGTCTCATTGTTGCCCTTGGTAGAGGTGATTAAAGCTAATCCTATATTGATACTAACCACAACACCCAACTATTTTTTTTGTTGTAGTTGTCATTGCTGTTTAGGTGGCCCAGGCTGGATTTGAACCCTCCAGCTCCAGTGTATGTGGTTGGTACCCTAGCCACTGAGATACAGGCACAGAGCCTGTGAATAGATTTTGAAGGATTTTAGTTCATACGCTAACTGTAATTTACACATTTATTAAATTACAATGCTGATTTATAATGTATCTAAACGTACTATAAATACTAATTAGATATAAAATATCTAATATGCTTTGAAAACTGGATTTCATTAACTCTTAAAATGTTTTCAAAACTCTTAAGAATATTTAAAAGAAATATGTGCTACAATTAGAATTTATTTTATTTTCAATTTATCACCTTTGGTAGAGTGCCGAAGTGTCACAGCTCACAGCAACCTTCAACTCCTGGGCTTAGGTGATTCTCTTGCCTCAGCCTCCTGAGTAGCTGGGACTACAGGCGC